TGGATCTAGAACTGGTCACATTAAACAAAACAGCCAGAGGTAGAAGACAAACACCAGATGGCCGTATCAATAAGTAAAGAAACAAATTGAAGCAATAGACAGTACATAAAGACAACAATCCATTGAACTTTTAATTAACAATGGGGTTGGGCCGCTCGCCAACTGGCCCCCGGGCGCCATGTAATCCCATCAACGGCCAAGACTCAGAGACTATAAAAACCAGCTCCCAGAACCGCGTCCGCATTCACGGCCTTGCGACATCTTTTTATGACATCTTATTATCTCATTCCTACTTTGGACAAACTGGCAGGCTACCGAATGTAGCCTGCCCACATTGCAGAGTTTGGCAAACTCCCCATGGCGTACCCAATATGCCAAATACGAGTAACAATGATTGGTCTCATTCTCCTAAAGAGCCTTGAATATAATCTCAGGGCAAGGATAAAAGAGACGTTACTGGGGCCTGCTCGAGGCAATCGACGAATAACAGGATGATTTGTGATTTTTTGTGTGGGGTTGGGCCCAGGGAGAAGAGGAACAGGAGGTCTGAAAATGACGTTATGCCATGTGGAAAGTTCAGGGAATTCTGGGTGCGCTGGACCAGAGATAATTCTGCACACCACTAGTATAATTTAAATACCCTGGCGCCTCAACTAAAAATAAAATGCAAATTATAGTCTTCTAAAATGTCATCTGCTTTGCATTATCACCACCTGTTAAAACATTTTTTCCAGAGGTTAAAAGTAACTACCTTCAGCTCTTGCACCCTAGTCCCAAAACCCACTGATCTGAGACCATTTTCTGTTGTTCCTGTGTTGATGGTATATACTAAAGCTGAATGCTATGCCTACTAGACAAATGCCGTTGTGAGCTGATCTTCAGCACTGAAATCCCATTGTCCAAAAAAAACACAAGAAAATCTCCTAGAAATAGGCTGAACCCCATAGAGGTAAGTCCCTATTTACCTTATGAGACCAGGGAGACCCCTAAGCCAGAGATCCTTCAGCTGAACTCCCACCCCCTCCTATTCTTCTGAAAATGGGTCAAGTCTGACCTAATTTCCTGGCCCAGTTCCAGCAATGCCTCCCACTTCAATCCCCACCCTAACCCTCCTCTCAGTTTTCCTTTATGGGAGATGAAGCATTTCTGAGAGCAACTGGAAAACGAAAGATCTGCTGCCCTAGTTAGAAGGCTTTGGTTTTCTGTTCTGTGAAATGAAGTCTCATAAGGGAAGCAGGAGATCAACTATGAGTAGGGTCTTGACGTGTCTGGCTAGAGTCTGGATGGACTTTTCATCCACCACCTAGGTGGAAATCTAGGCACTAGCCCAGCAGGGGGAGGGCAGGGCGCAGTTGCAAAATGCTGTGGTGTCTCTGCAGGCTGCCTGGAGGGTATTAGCAGGGGAACAGTTGAGGGTCCTGCGGTGTTGAGACCCGCTGTCTGGACCTCACTTGTTCAACGGAGCAGCTATTAATTGTGAAAGATAAACTTGCAAAACAGGAAGAGAAAATTTTTTTTCAGGGTTCACTGAGAAAGATAAACCCTCCCCAAGGTCTTCCAGCTCTTATCTGATCCTGACCAAGCAGTTCTCCAAATCTAAAGATATGTCCACAGACTCTGACCTGGACTTGGCCCTAAGTGTGGGTCCCTATTTCTTTTCCTGCCAAGTATGTGGTTGGAGGCACCTCAGAGAGGGAACATTCAGTACCAAAGGTACTTTATTCACACATGACACTCATAGGCCCCTTTGTGATGTACAAGAAAAAAGAAAGAACTGGGAGAAGCTCTAGAGTCAAGAGTACCAGGAGTCTGACTTCCTTCCCCCTTCCCTCACCCACACATACACACACAAAATACCAATACAGGAAAAGGGCATACCAGAGAGCAGGGCTCTGCACTTTTAAAGCACCATCCTCCATGTCCCCCTTCCCCCTAACCCTTGGCCTTCCCTGGGGTGGGAATCTATGAACTCCTTAAACCTCTAAACAGCATTTTTCCCAAACTGGCAGGCTACAGTTGGAGCAGGTGTTTGTGTTTGTTCATTAAACGAAGACAGATTTCCAGGGGCCAGAAGGTAGTACAGTGATGTAAGACTCTTATCTCAAGCTGGCACCGGTTCAGTATCACATATGATCCAGGAGCCCCACCAGGAATTATCTGTGAGCAAAGCAAGGTGTTCACAGAAACAAAATAAAAATTCTCTGTGAGATCTGAACCATTTGGTGGTCTGAGAGAGAGTATAGCAGGTAAGACACTTCTTCTAGACTGAGTGTATTCAAGTTCTCTAAGGTAGAATAAGTATGTTAAAGTAACATTCTCTTCTCAGTTCAGTACAGACTTTCTATGCTCTTATTTTCATAATTCATTGCTCTTACCCCAGTCAAGATGATGCTCTACAATTTTCTTTCAAACTGTCCGTCTTTTGAATGAGAGAGAGAACTCAAGCAACTGAAAACTTGTTTTGTGTTCAGGAGGCCAGGATTGATCTCTGGCACCATGTGCTCCCCTGAAAACCGTGGGGGTATGGCTGCAAAACAAAACCAAATAAGCAGCAACATGACTCTCACCATATTTACATATTCAATATATATACACAGATACATATATATATATATATCACTTGATCACTTAATTTCCTGTTAATCGTCGATTTGCTCAAGTGGGCGCCAGTAACATCTCCATTTGTCCCTGTCGCGTGCTAGTGTAGCCCCATGGCGTCTGTTCATTCTAGGAACACGAAGAGCCAACCGATCATTCATGATTTTGATGAAGAAGTCTGACCATCTGGTAGGTGGGCGGCCACGCGGTCTTTTGACATCCCGTGGAATCTAATCGGTAACAGCTCTAGTCCAGCAGTCGTCTTCAAATCTCATTACATGACCAGCCTATCTGATTTTTGACACCTTGGCAAATGAGACAGTGTCCCTGATTCTTGATTGTCGACGGAGGTTGGAACTCTGGATTCTTTCTCTCATTTGAGTGAAATGTGATAATCCAAGCATAGGTCTTTCAATTCCTCTTTGGGAGACCCGAATAGCGTTCTCATCCTGTTTGCTTAGGGCCCAGGTCTCTGAGGCGTATGTTAATACAGGAAGAACAGTGGAATCAAAGAGATGTGCCTGGAGCCTGAGGTTCTTCGTCCTCTTAGCTATTTCCTCGGCACTCTTGAAGGCGTTCCAAGCCACTCTCTTCCTCCTGCGCAGCTTGGGTGCCAGGTCATTTGTCATGTTGACTTCTCGACCTAGGTACACATAGCTGTTGCATTCAGAGATTGTCTTTCCGTTGAGAGCGAATGGGGTGTCAGGAACAAGGCTGTTTCACATATACATTGTCTTCGTAAGATTCAGCTGTAGTCCGACCTTTCCACACTCATGGTGGAAGTTGGCCAGCATTTGTGCCACTTGGCTAATATTTGGTGTTATTAAAACAATGTCATCAGCAAAGCAGAGGTGGTGTACTTGTTGACCATCTATCTTCACTCCCATTCCTTCCCATTCCAGTCATCGCATGATGTTCTTGAGGGTGGCACTGAAGAGTTTCGGTGAAATGGTATCACCCTGCCGAACCCCTCCAGATATATATATATATATATATATATATATATATATATATCTTATAAAAGGTTTTAATGGCCCCTGCCCAAATAGAAGAATCTTCACACTCCTTCCTCTATGGATACTTTTTGTAGCATTTTCAGCGGTTTTTCATAATAAATAATACAAAATATATTATCTTGGTTCTGCTTTGGGACAGAGATTGGGGTTAGGTATGGAAACGTCCAAAATATGGTGGTGGTAATGTGTATTGGTGTATGGATATTAAATGTAATCAAATATTGTGAACTACCTTATAAAATTAAAAGAGTTTTTTAAAAAAACAAAAAAGTGAAGTTCATGCAAAATTCAATCAGCCTAATCAGTGTCTGAATAAATAGCAGTACTCCTACATAAAAAAAAATAACAATAATGATGATAACACATCAACCTTTTAACTAGATAATGACACCAGAGTCCAACATCCATGGAAAAGTCTCTCCAAGCCCTCCTGCAGAATCCCATGATTCAGCTGCACACACTCCCACAGAAGCCCAGGTACCTGCTAAACTTTTCATTTGAGTGTGCAGATTATTTGTGGTAGGGGTCTGAACAGAAACCTGTTCTGGGTGGGTAAAAGAGCTCTGGGTGCTGAAAATATTAGCTCAGGAGCCAATTTCATATAAACAGGCATTAGTCGTAAGTAGAGTTGATGGTATGTAGACTTCTGCTTAATGATCTGAAAAGAAGATCAAGAGAGGGAAGGAGATTCAGTTGGCTGGAGAAGAATGATATAGAGCTGAGCGTGACTTAGAGGTTGGATCACTCACTCACTAGCCCAGAATCAACAGTTCTTGTGATGGCTCACCCTGTCTGATTTGGCAGCTCACTGCTGTCTGGGTACTGGCTGCCCTGCTCATGTCTCAAGGAATCAATAAGGCCAATGCAGGCTGAGCTGCAACTAGGCCCAGGAGTACCTGCCTTTCCCCTGTCTCTCATGGAAACAAAAACTTACCCAGGTTCAATTTGAAAGAAAGTGTCATTGGAGACTGCAGAAGAGGAGTGTAGGAGAAGAAAGGGCATCTTTTTCTTTTTGGGTCACACCCAGCGATGCACAGGGCTTACTCCTGGCTCTGCACTCAGGAATTACCCCTGGCAGTGCTCAGGGGACCACATGGGTTGCTGGGAATTCAACCCGGGTCGGCTGTGTGCAAGGCAAAAGCCCTACCTGCTGTGCTATCACTCCACCTCCGAAAGGGCGTCTTTTAAAAGATAACCCAGGGTCCAATCATAAGGTCTGTGTGCAAGCTAATAAAACAGGGCTGGGCCATTCGTAGGTGGGGCCACTCTAGCCTAGGTTTTTTTTATACTGTCCTTGGGATACCATGCTCCTCTTAAGTGGCTGAGACAAGGGAAGAACAGTGGAGAGGCAGACCTTCAGGCTGCTAGAAAAAAAACTGGCTTCCTTAACTGTGATGTTCCACTTTGTAGGAGAAAGTGGGGATCACAGTTAAGAGAATCCAGCTTAAAAAAGAGAGAGAGAAAGAGAGAGAAGCCAGCTAGACCTTTCATCTGCCTTAAGAAATGCGAAGAGAAACTTGACAACTTCTGAAAGGTAGGTGGATGCCTGTTTTTTTCTGATAGGGCTTTATGAAAAGGAGTCTGAAAACAAAGAAAACAGGTAAGAAGAGACCCTGAGTCTGGAGGAGAGAGAGGGAGAGAGGGGAAGAGAGATATATAGAGAGAGAGGGATGAAGAGAGAAGGGAGAGGAAAAGGAGAGAGGGAGTGAGAGGAGAGGAAAAGGAGAGAGGGAGGGAGGAAGAGAGGGAGGGAGGAGGAGAGAAGAAGCTAGAGAAGAGAGAGGGAGAGAGAGAGAGGGAAGGAGAGAGAGAGAATTCGAATGATAATAGACTGTTTCATTTTCCTAAAAATGCCTTGCCTTGCATGTGACTGAGCTGCTCTACCCCTGTTTGATTTCTCCACCCCTCTTGGAGAGCCCAGCAAGCTACCAAGAGTATCTCTCCTGCATGGCAGGGCCTGACAAGCTACCGGTGATGTCAAAAACAGTAACAAGTCTCACAATGGAGATGTTACTGGTGCCCGCTGGAGCAAAAAGATGAACAGTGGGAGGACAGTGCAGTGTTATAGTGCTTGGGCAGTAGAAACTACTTCAGGGACTTAATTTGACCTCCAGACCCAGCCAATGAACATGCTGCTGCATTGTTGCCAGTTTTTCTCCCTGTTTATAAAGAATTTGCTGCAGCCTTCGGGAGTTATCCTTTTCTTCCCAGATACAGTCATTTTCCTTCAAGATTGTTGGAATTTCAGTCTCCAGATTTCATTTTAGCAAGTCTCTTTGTTTTCTTTAAAACACATGCCTGTACAGAGATTACAGCCTACTTAGATAAAGAACTTGACATTCAGTCTCTTCATTTAAGTTCCAGCTGGCAGAATATAGCTGCTGTCAACAAAGAGAACACAATGATGGTGGCGGATTCACCTGAAGAAATGCAGGAACATAGAGTCTGCCTGGAATATCATAACTGCTTGCCTTTCAGTGGAAAGGAACAATTTGGTAATGTAAAGTTGTGGCAAAGAGCAAAAGAGTGGGGTGGGGATGGAGGGTCACAGGGTGCTTTCCTGCTTCAAGAAAACTGCCTTTCAGAAGTTTTACCATAACAGAGGCAGAGCATTTGAGAGCATGGGAAAGAAACAGAAAAGGTGTATATTTATTCATCAATATTTGCAGTATTGCCTATGTGTCCTAAAGTAATTCTGGCGCAGGGGAAATAAACAGTAAATTCCATTGCAGTCTGACAAGGGAGGCAAGCTCTTTGCCTATATACTGTAAATCCTTCTTTCCCAGACAAAAGCAACTTGCATACTGGGAAGTCACAGTTAACCAGAAGGTCTTTTGTATCCTAGAGGGAAAGCAAATTTGAATACTGTATATTTCATAATATGTGAACTAATAAATTTGCATGTCAAAACTTGTTTGGGGGTCTAAATCTTTTCTAAGTTATTAATAGATAGTGGAAGGCAGAGGGTTGATATTTTGAAATTAAGAATGTTAGACTGAACCTAAGCATTAAAAAATAATTTAGCATTTAAAACTTTTTATGGTACCACCTACCAAATTGAGAACCTTACACATATAAGGCACACACTCTAATTTTGAGCTATATTCCCCTTACCTTTTTAGGGTTAGAGTGAATTGACTAACCCTAAAAAAGATGGGGGCTGGGAGAGATACTGGGATCTGTGGTAGTGGAAAATGGGCACTGGTGGAGGGATGGGTATTGGATCATTGTATAATTGAAACCCAAGCACAAAATTTTGTAAGCCTAAAAAAGATATAATCAGGCAAAGGAAACCCACAAAAAAAAGAAAGAAAGATGTAGAACAGAATAATGTGTGCTTGTTTTTAGTCTGAAAGGAAGGGTATCTTTTACTGAAATTCTAGCTGTTGAAAACCACCTTTCTTTCTTTCCTTTCTTTTCTTTCTTTCTTTCTTTCTTTCTTTCTTTCTTTCTTTCTTTCTTTCTTTTTCTCTCTACTCCCCCTGAACTTTACTTTTTCTTTGTGAAGATACACTATTGTATTCCCATAAAATAGGGTTTGTATTTAGTAACAAATTAATTAAAATGCTAATATTTGTCAACTAAGATAAGGCTTCACTAACTAAAGCTATTTGACCAATCAGGATGTCATACTTATTAAGCTAAACTGACTGGTAAGAATGTTTCACATGAGAAAAGCAAATTTTGAACTGCTTTTGGGTTATGAAACTAACATTTATATTAGGAAAACATCTGGTTAGTTTCTTTGTTCATTTGAGAGATCGTGACTGATGCCATATTCCCAACTAGAAATTCAATGGTTATGGTGTCAGAGTGCAATATAGGTGGCATATGACTTTGAAGAGGATTGGGAGAGGATAGTTCAGGTGGGAGAAGAGAAAAAAGAGAGGGATGGAGCATGATGCTGGGGAGAACATTAGATTCAGGGAAATAAAGGTAAAAAGAAAGGGAGGTTTGGGGAGACTGCTAAGAGTGGCAAATAGATTTTTGGTGAATTGAAGGGAAATTTACTTCTTACCCATGTCCCAGTCAAAAATTATGGAATACACTGAATTTTTAGGACATTTTTTTTGTTTTTTGTTTTGTTTTGTCTTATTAGTGAAACACCAAGAGGTACAGTTGTAGACTTACAAGTTGTTGTGCCTGGGTTTCATTTATACAATGATCGAGTACCCATCCCACCACCAGTGCCCATTCTCCACCCCCACCAATCCCAGTATCCCTCCCACCTCTCACCTCCCATCCCACCCTGCCTCTGTGGCAGGGCACTCCCTTTTGTTCTGTCTCTCCTTTTGGGTGCTGTGGTCTGCTGAAGAGACATTGGGTGGCAATCACATTCGAGGACATATTTTTTTTGATGCAGGACCAGAAAGAATGAGAGATAAGATTTTTGTCTAAAGACATCTCCTGAAATGTCGCTGAGAATGGTTTTAGACCATCAGTCCTACGTTTCTTCTCCCTTACTAAAACTTATGTCAAAACTCTGTGATCCTGGAAGATCCATGGGAAATGCAGTAGTTGAAGGAAAGTGAGCAGGAACTTTATTGATTTTAATTTCAGTACACTGACTTGGAATCACGAGGAGAAGAGCACATAAGGGGGTCCTATGTGTGTTATTCCAGCAGTAAACTGTTTTTTGCTGATTTTCAAAATGAGCTATTAAAGGCAGATATGCCCAGTATCAATGCTTTAATGTTTTTTGAAACATGGGGGTACCCCAGAGTTTAGGGGTCTACAGGGAACAGAGAAGCTGATTGTTGACCTTGGTCAGGCCAAAGTCCAATAAGAAACTAGCAGTTGTGACCATGAGTTAATTCTTCCTTTTGCTTGGTGCTGGGTGGCATTTTCTTTTTCCCCACCAGGATTTAAACTGTTGCCAGAATTTAGTGCTAAAAAAATAAAGGTGTTACCCCAAGAATAGTAAAGATAAAGACAAGGATATTTACTCCACAGCTTGGAGGCCTCACATGTTGGGGGAAAGGGCAGCTCAGATCGAGAAGGAAACATCAAGTAAAGGGTGTTTGGAAGACCCTCTCAGTTTGGGAGATGCATGCCGATTGTAGACTATATATGGAACATGATGGCCACTCGATGCCTCTATTGCAAACTACAACACCCAAAAGGAAAGAGAACAAAAAGGGATTCCGTGACACAGAGGCGGTGTGGGGTTGGGGGAGGGGGGGATGTGTTGGAGTGGTAGGAGGAATACCAGGATCATTGGTGGTGGAGAATGGGCACTGGTGGAGGGATGGGTACTCAACCATTATTTGAATGAAATGTAAGCATGAAAGTTTGTAAGTATATAACTGTACCTCACGGTGATTTACTAATAAAATTATATATGTATATATATATATATAAATAAACCTAAAATAAAAGAATAAAAGTGTTATGTTTCTATGCAGGTTTTTGAGTAAAGTTAAGCTTTAATTATCCTGTATAAATACTAAACAGCATTGTTTTTGATATCAAAATATGATACCATGCTAAGATTAGCACATGATAAATTTGTATTTACTGCACCAAACTGCAAAGCTGCCTTTGCAAGGTGGCTGTACCATCTTATATTTTCAACATCAGTGATTGAGATTTCAATTCTCCACTTGGTTGTGTTATTTTGTTTTAATATAAACTCTCAATAGGCAGAGAGAGGTAACTCAGATTTTTATTAGCATTTCTTTAATTCAGGCTATCTTGAATACATTTTTATGTGCTAATTTGTCATCTACACATCTTCTTCAATTTTATATTAAGAGATGCAAATTGGATGATTCAAAACCCACTTTCAACTTATGTATTACTCTTATTTTGAGTTTTCAGGATTTAATATAGCTAGATATAGGTTCTCACCACATCTTTACCAACAGTTTGATTCTTCTCCAGACCAGCAGCTCTAAACCATGTGAGGTGACATCTGCTTGTGTCATTTGATCAGAATCTTGCTGTTAATGAATGACAGGAGCATTTTCATGCACCTGTTGGCCATCTGCATGTCTTTGAGACTGTGGGGAGCTAATTCCCTGACCTGACACAGAGGAGGAATATGCCTCACTGCTGATCCTCACACCAGACCTTTCTACCTTTCTACCTTTTCTACCTTTCTACCTTTTGCTATTTCTTTCCATCTTCCTGACCTCCTTTGCCTATAGCTGTAAGATTTCTTATGGCTGGAGATTCTATTCTATTTCTTTTATTTCAGACCCTCTTTGACCCATGATAATAGCTATGGGTCATGACCTTTAGTGAAAGGGATTGGCAATAGGGAAATTGTGGTACAGCTGATTTAGGAAGTATATTTTTGTGATAAAATTGTTTTTCTCATAAAGCTTTCAGAAAAATGAGATTCTGATATTTTACTTTAAAGGTACACATAACCAAGAAAAATATAGAACAACTCGAAGTTGTGAAACTCTTCACAGACATGCTTTCTGCCTCATCAGTACTTTGGCCATAGTTATATCTGTGGTTATACTTTCTGTTACTTTGACAGGTAAGTTACTTGCTTTACAAACTATAATTTTCTCCATATATTGTTATGATCATACATAAATATCCCTTTGAGTTCTATTTTATGCCAGAAACTGTGCAAAGTGTGTGGGGCATATTGGCGAATGGAACATAAAAATTCCTTCTTCCAATATTCCAGAAGGAAGTATAGCTGTCATTATAAATTAAAGTACAGGGTAGGGAAACAAGCTGCAATGCACATAGGAGTGACACATACTCTTCAGTAGGAATCTCTCCCTTTCAGCAAACTTTTGAAGGAGATGAAGGTAGCGTACTGATGCTTGGGGAAAACTACTCAGGCACAGAAAACAATAGAGCAAAATTCCCAAAGAAGCAATATCCCTAGTGCTTTGAATAAGAGCAGGAGATTGCTGGGTTAGGACAAATTGAGACCAAGTAAGAATCATGGGATGGATCCAGCAGGCCTTGGTAGTGACATCAAGACTATGGGTTAAACTTTGATTAGAGCAGGGAAGGTCATGAAAGGAGAGTTGTAAAGAAGATTGTCATGGCTCCAAGACTTGTATTGGAAAATGATAATTTTTGCTACTGAGAAATAATTGTTAGAAGAGAAGGGGAGAATCAAGGAGAACTACTCGGGTGATCTTGTAGAAATCTAGGTGAGGGATGGTGATAACTTAGACCTGATGGGCGCAGTGTGGGGTGTGGTAGGGTAGTGGGTTCTGGATACTTTGAATGTTGGAGTCACAGTATTTTATAACAGATTGCCTATGAAGATTTGCAAAAAGAGACCCCTACGTAACTCTAAGAATTTTCTGCTGAACCATGGCAAGAAATGATAAGAGAAAGCTTTATCAAGGTTTATCAAGCTTACCCTTACAAGCTTATCCTGATAAGAGAAAGTTTTATCAAGGGGTTTTTATCTTTGGATCTGTTTCTTGCACAGAGAATGTTCAAAAGTACAATACCATATGCCTTGCAAAAAATTCTTTGTATGTGGAATTGGTCAGATATAAATGACTTTTTGGTATTAATAAATAATTATTTCATCTATTCTGATTTTGTTATTTCTAAACAGGTCTTTATCCAACCACTCATAATGTGACCCAGACATTTTTTTATTTCTTATTTTGGCTGGGGTGAGGAGCAAGGGAAGAGGAGATGCAAGCTGGGGATTCAAGTGAGGGTCTCATATAAACAAGGCATGTTCTGAGCCTATCTTAAAGAATTTGTTAAATCTAATAACAACTAACAATTTTTACTGAAGTTTAAATTGTTGCTAATTATATAGTTCCTAGAATTATAGTCCCTAGAATATTTGTAAATGTCAATTAAAAATGGTCTTGTGATACTGTTCTTTTTAAGTTTCTCTATTTAGAATCTGAATTCTCTTGATAACTACCACTGTTCATTTGAGATAACGCAAGCACAAAATGTCCATAATTTTATATTTCTACTTGAGTTTTATCACAGTGCAATATGTAAAATCTCCAATCCCAGGTCTACCAATGTGTTTTTATTATTCAGCATAATTTAAAGTATAAGTGATTCTGCCTAATAATTCAGCGGGGTATATTTTGTTTGGGGAGTGACACACCTGGTTATGGCGAGGGCTTACACCTGGCTCTTTGCACATGGGTATCTCTTGGTTGGGCTTGTAGACTTTATGAGCTCCCAGAGATCAAGTCCTGGTTGTGTATGTAAAGTCAGCACCCTACCCACTATACTATTGCTCCAGGGCTCTTGCTTCATTCTCTTTTAAAGAAACAGTGATACTGATCTCAACACACATGTGCTCTCTGCTCTCTAATCTAAGCTCTCTAGGGTTAAAGATTGAGAAAAATGTAAGAGATTATTTTTCTTTAAATGTGGGGAAATTAAAATCATCATTGGTGCTAAATTTATTTTGATACTATTATTTTTTCTTTCACTGGTCCTACAGAACAATGTTGTCTTATCATCTAAAGGAGAGCAAGAAATTCAGAAAGAATGTGAAATGAGAATAGTTGATTCTTCCTACACCTTACTCTGAAATATTATTTCAGAATATTTAAGAAGAGCCAACAATGTTTTATTCATTTTTTTAAAAGTACATATAAAATAAAAAGGTAAAAATGTAGAAAGCCCTGCATTGTATTTTTGTTAACAGAATAATATTTGGGTTGTTATTTTTGTCCAGAGAAAGCTTTTATAGCTCCTGAGTATGCACCATAGTAAAATTCAGGATATGAGAGATGTCAAGAGGAATAGGAGCTAATATTAAGGGAAATATAGAAGAAGAGAATCTATATGATATACTAGGAATATCATGTACTTACTCTTTGCAGAAATTAGCATTATCTATAAGAAGTACCATGGACTTGGTGCTTTATAAATTTATTATCCCTAAATCATTAATATCAATGTACACCTTGTAAAATGAGATGCATAGATACTCCCGACCAGGGGATAGTTGACTATTGTACTTAGGATAAAACTTTCTGATGAGTTAGAAAATTACAATTACCAGTCTATAATGTTAGCAGTAACCTTAGGATGATAAGTGAGAAAATAGATTAAAATAATAAGAAAATATATTTATTATGTTTTGTGGTGATTATCCAAATTTTAGTAAGAAAGGAAAGAGCAGTCTCGGCAGAAATACAAGTCTCAAAAATGCATGAGCATCCCGCATGCCCACCAATGTGGATTGGATTTGGAAACAAGTGCTTTTATTTTTCTGAAGAAGCAGGGAACTGGACATTCAGCCAGACTTTCTGTGACTTACTGGATGGAAGCTCATCTTGTGCAGATTGACACCTCAGATGAATTGGTAAATATTGTTCTGAGGCACCAGGCAGACAGTACAAGTGTGAAAATACATGCCTGTCATATTCAGGGCCCTGAGTTCAGCTGCCAGCACCACATGCCAAACACCCCAGGGTCCGCGTGTCACTCTGCTTGCCCTAGAACTGCTGGTGCACACTGGGCTGAGCTTTGCAGGAAGTGGCCCCGTCCAATTTCTCCCAATGCTCCATCGTATAATACAAATTTTTAAAAGCATATCATCTGTTGAATAGGGAGCTCCCCCACAGAGGGTGGGGGGCTGCACCGGGCTAAAGCTGAAAGATAACAAAGTCCTCAATTCAGTCTGGAGCACAGGGCACAGACAAGCTTCTGACATGTGTTGAATTCTCTGCCTAGAACCCAGTGAGACATGTCAGATACGTTCTCCCATGTAATCCTCAAGGTCGACCTAGAAGCTTAGATGAACCGTTCCCTGTGTAGAGAATTATTGTATTCACATAATTTTTCATTCAAATTATGGGAGTTACAGTGTTCACAATATACTAAAACAATAGGCACAAAGAGACTTTGCCACTAACATTGGGAGAAATGATTCTTTTAAACAAAGAGGTTTAGGAGCAGAGACAGAGAATAATGATTCAGGATGAGAAAAGGGTAGAGAATAACTTTTTCAATTATACCCTGCTGTCATCCCCAGTAGAAGACTGCAGGAAATACCGACTCAGGAGTGGTAAATGAGAAAGATGCATGTTTTCACTTTTTGTTCTTTATAATAGAAATTTCTGAAAAGATACAAAGGCCCTTACGACCACTGGATAGGCCTTAGCAGAGAATCGCCAAGTCACTCTTGGAAATGGACAAATAATACTGGAGGCAACACTGTGTATGTATTGAGACTTTTTTCCTTTTGCCATGATGACTTAGGGTGTTTATAAAACATAACTTTAATATAGAAAACCTATAGTACTGTAAAAGAAATAGAACTTCTTTCTATGCCTTTCCATTTACTAGCCAGTTCCTTGAAAACTCAATTCATTGTCATTTTAGATTAAATATTTAATATGATAATGCCATGTGTATGTTCTTATACTTTAATATCATGATTCAGATGTTTTTCTGATGAAATATTGGTTTAGAAGGCATAAAAAGCTGCTGGTATGCAGTGGAAAAGAGGTGGGGGAAGTATTCTAAAATCCTAGAAAATCACTGATAATTTGATCCCTATAAAACCTTCAAAAATCCATTTTCCAGTTGCTGCATCCATTCACAAAAGTAAGGAATAAAGGTTCATAGAGAACCTGTGGAAATCTCTCTGGGAGCTTTACCAGTAGAAACTGTAGCTCCCTGTGTTGTCGACAGTTCAATCAGGTCATTGGAGATGTATAAAATATAAAGGCCTGATCACTTTCATCAAAATAAAGCTCTTTAGCACATTGCTAATAACTATTTTTATCTTATACATTTATGAAGTAGTTAGTGAGAAGATTGAGAATGATTTTCACTGATACAACATGACAAAATACATAAAGTGACTAGATCAACAATATAACTAGATTTGTATTGGGTGAATCATATAGTTGGTGGTGTTCAAACATGTGTCTTGAAAATGTAAAGAAAAACTAAATATAAAAATGTTGTTTATTACTAATAAGTCACATAAGTGATATATTTTTTTTACTTCGATAGCACAGTGGGTAAGGCGTTTGCCATGCACGTGGCTGACCTGGTCAGCCCTGTTTCGATTCCTCCGCTCCTCTTGGAGAGCCCGGCCAGCTACCAAGAGTATCTCGCCCGCACGGCAAAGCCTGGCAAGCTACCCGTGAAGTATTCGATCTGCCAAACACAGTAACAACAAGTCTCACAATGGAGACGTTACTGGGCCTGCACGAGCAAATCAATGAACAACTGGAGGACAGTGCTACAGAGCTTCTTCTATTGAAAAAAGTTGACTAGAGGTATTACAGATGACATGGAGGAATGAATGCAAGATGTTTAGTGTAGGAATAATTGTTTGTTTTGTTTCAGGTTTCAGGTCAGAGGAACTGGGGAATGTGCCTACTTGAATGACAATGGCCTGAGCAGTGCCAGGATTTACTCAGACAAAAAATGGATTTGCAGCAAGCCCAATGTGTCCATCTGTCAAATTGCTTCAAACTCATGAGTAGAAAAGCTGCATTGTACTTGTTATCTACAGTTGCTGAATGTTTTTCTCAAAGTGTTGACCT